GTGCATTTAGGAGGTTTTAGGGATTACACAAAGGAAATTTGAGATTAGGAAAAGTATAGGTATGCATCAACAAAAATTAAGTCACAAAACTTTATATATTTTTATATATAAAAGAAAAACTAAAGGTAAATATACATATTTAGAAACTTACATTCAGGAGCTCCAGCAGGATTAGAAGAGTCTGGTCAGCAAGTTATTTAAGACTGTGGTGTATTTGGTTCCAGATGAATCCACTGAACGATGTTGGCCCAAGCCAGCTTTGGTTACTGCAAGCTCTTTGGACCAGCCAAGCTTGTCTGCTGATCTGAATTTGCATATTTCTTATTCTCAAAATTCCAGTCTTACACTTAAAAGGTAAATGCCACTAATGTGTAACTACTGTGTTGTAGTGGCTGGGGCCTCTGCTGGATGTTTGTGTATCACTATCCAGTTGGCAATTAATGATAGAGGTACCATTATGAAGTAGACATAGCTGCGGGTTGAGTTTGGGATAATGATGATGGTTTTTCTCTGATGCATTGTACTTTTTTTTATTGTTTGACGTTTTTTTGGGTGGGATGTCTTCTCTGAATTACATAGAAATGTATCAAGAGTTATTCTACTTAGGAGCTCAGTGTAATGATGCTCGATCTTTTTCAAACTGTGGTCTTGTTGGAGGGGGGTTCTAGATTTTCTAATTGTGTCAGAACTTCTCCTGGAACCTCTCCTTTGAACAAGTGACACAGAGTTAAATATCCAGTGGTCCAAATTACTTCTTTGTCATTTCTGGATGCTGCTGCTTGGAAAGATCTGCTCCAGATGATGGGGTTGGCAGTTACTTTGGCTGGGAAAAGAAGGCATCTGGGTCATTGAAAGACAAGACAGACAGTGTTTTATTGTTATGAGATGGATATGTGCTGGTAGTAACCTGTCCACCTTCATTGGTGTTGGAGGTGCAGGACTGATGAACCACACAGTCAGCATCCTTCAGCCTTTGAGTGGGTTGAATATTCAAGTCAAATATTCCTTCATTGATGAAAGTTTAAATAAAATGCTGAGTTCACAGTTAAGCATCTATTTGTGTTACTGGTTAGAGTAAGGATGCACAGTCTGACTGTTGGTTAGTTATAAGTTGAAAATATGAAAGCAATGAGATCAGTATGGGTCCATATAACCTTTGGCAGGTCAAGAGTTCAAGCTTCAACATTAGGTGATGATTTGAAAAATATACATTTCTATTCAGTTTTCAAAATAAAACTGAAACTCTGCTGCTCATATGTGCTAACATGTAGTGGTTGAATGTTGTTCTTAGTTACTGTGAGAAAGAGCATTGTATATGGAACAATTTAGTGGCACAAGACAACTGGAGACTACTAATTGTCAACAACTGAATTACTACAGCAATGCTATCATATAAATTTTTTTCCCTGTCTTGTTTCTCATGTAAGGTCAGAATTACAAGTTTTTCATGGTATTACACCTATACACCTTGAAGTTGTGTTTAATTTTTGTTAATACCTCAAATAGAATCAGTGGTTCAAGGTGTCGTTAACAGTTTGCCAGTTTCTAGGTCCTTTAGCCAACCACTAATATTAAATATCTAAAAGATATTTTAAGAGTATACTTCATTTTAATTCAGCTATTGATCCCATATGTGTACAAGCTGGAGACCACACATCTGCTCCTAACTAAAGAAACTTGTTGAAATGTTAACAAATTGTTCTTGACGAATGTTGCATCATTTCACAATATTAGAGGAACAACTCTCTCTTTTGGTCTCAAAACTATTCTAAGTGTTAAGACTTCTTTCACTCCCAGCAACTGGGATGGTTTTTACTGCTACTGTAGCTGTGCATTTGAGTGAATTTATCCCTCAGATGGCATCCCTCCGTTTCTTTTATTACATAGTCAAGGAAGTTTCAGTGTCCTTCTTTTCTTCTTATCTTCTTTCACTGGATCAGAGTATTTTATTGTGTCCTCATCATCATTATCTGAATCTTTGATGTATTCAGTCTTTGCTACCTGATCAAACCAGTAGTGCAGGTACCCATCAGTAACATAGCATTTCAGTTTATCACCATGCTTTACACAATTTCTAATGCCATGTCACCTCTAGATCTTATAACTTAAAGAACTGATTCACTGAAGTAACCCAAACTCCTCTTTTAGTCCTAAGTATGGTTCTCTCATTTATGAATTTGCAGCCAGATTGATATTGTGGACATAGCTCTTCATGTACGTGACAAAATACTGGGATCTATTGCCCATTTTCCTTGGGGGAAACCCCAAAGAAACTAGCACAAGAATAAAGTCACCTCATTCCAAAACAGCTGTCTGCATGCAAAACCTGTAACTTTGCAACAAATTTGTATAAGTATGAAAGCTGCTAAAGATTTGACGTACAATAAATCTTCACTTTTCTAAACTAAAACAAGAAGAAACATTGGTATGTTTCATGTATCACATATGCCATTTTGTTACAAAGAATATAATGAATCAAAAATTTTAGCTTACATTTTCTTGTATAAATATTAAGATGTAGGTATAGAATAAACTAAAACACTTCACAACACCCAGCCGATTAAACAGCTCATTCTAATGTTTATAAGTAAGAAAAGTATATTTAGTTAGCTGTACTCATTACCAAGTTGATTATAAGTTCTGCTCCAAGTAGGGGGAAGCTTGCTCTGATCAGAAGTTAATATTAATAGAATATAAATATGTAGCAGTTGACAATTGTCAGGTTTTACTATGATATAACTAAAAAAAAATTCATTTGTTCAGATGTATTAGTATTTCCTGGCACAGAGTATTCTTTTTCTGAGCTGCACAAGTAATATAAATTTTATACTACTACTTTTCATTTCTGTTGGAACGTGACCAGTAAAACTCCCCTGAAGGTTGGCTGTAGTGCAAGATATTCCCACATATCCTGTAGTCTGTGTAAAGTTCGGAGCCACTAGTTTCATCCGTGATGGTCGTGCTTGTTGTTGTATCTATCCAAGCTAGATCTGACTCCTTTAATTGCCCTTTTTTTGTAGCCTCTTATTTTTGCATTCGATATCTGTTTATTGGTTGAATCATCAGAGTTTGCTTTGTGTCATGGCACCATTATTTATACCCTGGATCCTGATTCTCTCTGTAGTAGCAAAAGTGCTTGACAGATATGTCAAGATAGTTATACATGTTGTTTTCCATAGTAGTACCTACAGTTCCAATGGAATAATATGTAGTGTTTCCTAGAGTGGCACCTACAGTTCCAATGGAATAATATGTAGTGTTTCCCAGAGTGGCACATGTAGTTCTAACATAATTATACCTAGTTTTTCCCAGAGTGGCACATGTAGTTCTAACATAATTATACCTAGTTTTTCCCAGAGTGGCACCTGTAGTTCTAACATAATTATACCTAGTGTTTCCTAGAGTGGCATCTGTAGTTCTAACATAATTATACCTAGTTTTTCCCAGAGTGGCACCTGTAGTTCTAACATAATTATACCTAGTGTTTCCTAGAGTGGCACCTGTAGTTCTAATATAATTATACCTAGTGTTTCCCAGAGTGGCACATGTAGTTCTAACATAATTATACCTAGTGTTTCCCAGAGTGGCACCTGTAGTTCTAATATAATTATACCTAGTGTTTCCTAGAGTGGCACCTGTAGTTCTAATATAATTATACCTAGTGTTTCCTAGAGTGGCACCTGTAGTTCTAACATAATTATACCTAGTGTTTCCCAGAGTGGCACATGTAGTTCTAACATAATCAAATTCAAACATGAAAATATCACCATTTTAACATGACATAATGTAGTGATATTCTTAATAAAATCTCATTTCAACTGTTTTAAAGTTATATTTTATAAAATTCAGTTATATAAACACAACACGGTCTTATGTTAGGTATGCCAAGTGTTTGTTTTGACATATTCTATTAAATACTACTCAAATCAGTTCATTTCTGTATTAATTAAGAATTTTGTGTTTTGGATCTCCTGATGGCATTTTTTCCAAATTAAAACATCATATACTCAAAGTCCTTTAAATCTGTAATCATTCTGTGTATTTTAACTATTTGTGAGCTTATTCATTAATGAAATTACTGTATACTGATGTGTTTGTTTAATTTAGTTTGCTAAAATGAAGAATATATTCTTATTTCTGAGTTAATAGGCATTCATTATCCATTTGTTTCACATTGATAATCATGCATCATATTTGTTCTTGATTTGAGTCTTTTATTTGTTAAGTATTCCTTCCTATACTAAATAAGCAAATGGTCATGAGTATTATCTTTTATTTCTAGTGATCAAGTATGCAATATCATAGCACTTTATTTCAACTCAACATTTTCCTTCAATTCAAACACTGATAGACAGTTACAATATATGTCTAATCCTAGACAGTTATGTACACGAATAAGCCATTTTCATGTTGGTGATTAAGAGAGTGAAATCAGTACTAGTTTAGATTCAAATTTCAGCAGGCTGAAATTCCAAATATCTAACATACATGGTCAGCCTGTTTATCCATACAAGCCATCTAATGCTTCCTCCTACCATAACATAAACAATGCCATTATCTTGCCTTTCAAGACAATTCCACCCTCTTTCTGTTAACAAAAGCATAATAGTATATCAAAGACTGTCTTATATGTAAGCTTTGGCCGTGTTTCTAATCACATAACAATACAGTTAACCATTTTTGTGACTGTTGTTTAGTTATCCTTATTTACCACATGACGTTTTGATCATCCTCAAATACACAGGTTTTAGTATTCAAATTCACATTCAACAATCTTCAAATACTAAAACCTTCTTTACCATTAAAACTTGTGTACTTGAGAATGATCACACCAGTGTTCAAAACGTTATACCTGTTCTAAAAATATTCTTCCTTACCCTAAAAGCTGTAACTTGTAGTAAAATAATACTTATAATCAGTAAATAAATTCAAAATGAAACTATTAATTATAGACAATGACAATGGCCACTACATATAACAGAACATTTTATACCCAAGACCATTGTGAAAGAAAATGATTAATTTCTCTTTTGATTGAGCAATTTTGTGAACTTTGATGTTTTATCTCTCCATCAAATTGGTAACTGTTATCAGGTCAAGCATATTCTTCAGTTAGTATTATTGCAGGTAAGTATATCTGTTTTAAAGATATTCTTCCTCACTGAAGGTTGTAACTTGTAATATAATTATATTTATTGTAGTTTGTTCATTATCGTTAGATAGCTAAATGAGTGATGGTGGGAAAAAAGTATTAACTATAATCCAACTGGAACACTTTAATATATATAAAAATGGGGGGCTATGCTGTTACAAGTTTGTTTAGAAAAAACTTTGCCAAGATACCAACTGAAGAAAAAGTATATTAATGTTAATGACTGTGGTTCTGTTGGATACATGACAGCAACAAAGATGTACTTTTAGCATGACTTAATGAGTATAATGTGTGGGAAGAAAATGTTGCAAACTTTATATATATATATTTATATATGTAAAATCCTTGGTAAGACCTTGAAAATGTCACAAAAACTCTGAAAAATGCTAAAGTAAGTAAATACCAAAAATAACCGTAAGAATGAATTTTTTTGGTATTCCAGGCTTTCACATTCATTTGCAACATTGTTAGTTTGATATGAAAGTTGTTAGTAACTCTGAATTTATGGTATACTAGAATATCACTTTCATAGACAAGTATGTAAGAGTTACTTTCACACTCATATATGGAATTATTACATAAATAATTTTTACACAATGTTTGACTGTTAAGTGAAAATATGTTAGATGTAATGATCAAATTCTTCTAACTTTGTTTTCATTCATGTTGAACAATGTTAGGTAAGTTATTGTATGGTGTGTTACTTTTTAATAAGTGATTGAAAATAAATGAAGGAAGAAATTCATCCAAACTATTAAAATAAGAGTGAAAAATGTATGTAGACACTTGTCGATTTAGGATCTAATTTAGAATTATTGATAAATAGAGAACTTAATTTTGTAATTGTGTAATCATTTTTAAAAAGATCATATTTGTTTAGTAATCTAAAAATGCAAAATATATTAATTCAGTTTGATCTTAATAAATTTTTTATCCAAAACTACTGACATTTTTGGAAAACTACAATAGGTGTTCTGTGTTTCTGATGTGTTTTTAAAACATAAATTTAAAGTTTATTTTCAACTAAAGTATCATCATTGTTAATAGGTTAAAGAATTCTCATTAAACAATATATCTGTTGTTCTAGTGACAACCATTCAAATAAAGTGAAAAACTTCATGTTAGACATGATGTGTCCTCTCATCAGTGAAGCCGACTCCGTGTCTCAGGAACTCTTGGACATTATATTGATACAGATAATCGAGCCAAGAAAGGTGTTTGTTGTTTTATTAAACTTCTACAATTAGAAATTTGAAGGTTCATAATAATTTTAGTAAAGGCATATAATGTAGAAAGTATTCAATTAACTGTCTCAATATTTTAGTAATAGCATGTAATGTAGAAAGTATCCAATTAACTGTCTCCATATTTTAGTAAGTTACTGTTTTGATATAATTAACATTGTGGTGTTTTAATATCTGATTTAAACAGAATATCAAATTTTATCCAATCAACATGTTGTTATTTCAGTCATAATTGATATAAAACTTAATACTAATATTTGACTGAAACTTTTACATAGAAACCTTATTAACTCTTTCACCATGGGTTTAGTGGATAACACTGACTTTATGACCCCAAAGTGATCATGAGAGTTTCCCTACTATAACTTTTAATATGTTTTGTGTATCTTTACAAAATTTAGCAAATTTTTCAGTAAAGATTACAAGATTTTTGTATAGAAAGAGTCAGTATTTTTACTAAAAACTTTACTATTATTATTTTTCATTATCTTACATAATGTAACCTTATCTAACCTAATAAGTTTCTAAATTTTACATTTTAATTAATTTTATAATAGAAAACAAAAAATATATATGAAAAACAAGAAATATATCGCTTACATCTTGTTTTTTTAATCATAGATGAAATTTAAGTTTACTTTTTTTTATAATGATGGTACTTGTACACTAAATAATTTTTATTTACTTAAATAATGTACCTAAGAACACATAATTTATCTGGCTTTCTGACTATGGCATAAGAGCCTTTAAATGAAACTTTAAGCTAGTTGATATGAACACAGCAAGAGAAACTTTCAAACTGAAGATGTAAGAGACTGAAAACAACATAATATAATATGTCATTTAGTAGCTTAAAACTTTGGCTCTCTATTGGTTATGAATAATATAGCATAAAACATTTAATATGTGAAATATGGGACGTAACAGGTGGGTGTAATAAATTGGTCTGATTTTCTAGTTTATGATACTGTAAACAAATAAGATTGAAGACTATAAAAATTAGGCCTTGTCTTAGTAACATCTATATTATAATGATTAATTTATGATAAATTCTGTACTTTTGAGAGGGGTGGTAAATAAATTAGAGAAGAGGGAAGACCTATAGAACAAATATTGCAATTCTCAAATTAGGGAAGATTGAAGATTTTTTCAAATAGTTTTTTTTTATAAAATTAAGAACATAAAACTTACGTAATATTAAAATTTGATTTACTAAATACACTTTGATACCAAGTTTAAATTTTGAATGTAACTCACTACAAAGTTGTGACATGCACACTTTGACCTACCCACAGTAAAAAAAGTTAATAAATCAACTCTGATGATTATCAACTGTTTTACACAGGAGCAACATACTTTTTACATAGAATGACTTGTTTGTTTCATGCATGTATTAACAGTTTTAAACTTTCATGTAAAATGTACCTTATAGATTGACAATGATATATATTTGCAATTATTTTTAATCCTTCCCTTGTAACATACATTTATATGGTGTGACTGTAATACGCTTTAAATTATGCATACTCTTACAAGTTCTTTAATTACATTATGTTGAACACTTATATAGAATTATAATTTTATTTCAGTGTATATGAGCCAAGCATGCCAGACTGTGGTTTTGAGAATTCGTAGTTTGTGTCTATTGCTACAGAAACATGCTTCATATATTCTATGACCATTCTTGTGCATAGATTTAATAAAATAAGTAAAAAAAATCCAATGTTTAAAAAATGCACAATAATTTATTGTACAAGTTAAAAGTAAAATATACAATTAAAAACTCTACATGTTTCAGTGGAAAGAGTTCCACCATCTTCAGGAGACCAGAAGAAACACTTGAAATTTCATTTTTTATACTAGGAAGTACACGTGTATAATTTGCATATTATACTGTGTCATCTACAGAATAGATTTACAAAAATTCACTTCTTTGGCACCTGGATTTGAAGTTTCAAATTAATCAACAAAAACTCCATCAAAAAATTAAAAACTATATTCGGCCTTGGTGGAACATGTGGCAAACTCTTCACGTAACATTGAATGGGATAAGGTTCAAATACTTAAAGAAGTTAAGCTGAAAATGAATTAAACATAGAGAATCTCTTGAAATTATTAAAGATAAAATGATTTTGAATAGAGATATAGGTCCAGGTGCCACAGAAATGAATTTCTGTAAATATTTTCTGTATATGGGACTGTATAGAATTTTTAATTGTGTATTTTTAAACATTGGATGTTGTTACTTATCTTATGACTAGCTTTGTACTTTGAGTATACTATAAGAATGATGGTTAACTCCTTTTGTATGATCAGGCAAGAGTAGTCAAAGGGATGGTAGTGGGTGCTATTGACAACCTGCCTTTCCTGTAGTTTATCAGTTTAAATTTAGGGATGGCTATGCACAGGTAGCCCATCTGTAACTTTGTCTACAAATTATAAAACAAAAAAGAAATGTCATTGTATTTATGGTCAATTACTTTTAATCACATATCATACTTTATGGAATTCAATGAAACATACCGTTAAGTCCTCTAGTGGGTCAGCGGTAAGTTTACAGACTTGCAGTTCTAAAATCCAGAGTTCGTTTCCCTGCAGTAGGCACAGCAGAAAGCCCTGTATAGTTTTGCTCTAAAACAAACATATATACACATACATATAATTAAATGCGTATGTAGTCAACAGCTGTTTTAATTGCATTGTGCATATCATGCATGTGTATGTAGTGAACAACTACTTTAATTGCATTGTGCATATCATGCATGTGTATGTAGTCCAACAACTACTTTAATTGCATTGTGCATATCATGCATGTGTATGTAGTGAACAACTACTTTAATTGCTTTGTGTATATCATGCATGTGTATGTAGTGAACAACTACTTTAATTGCTTTGTGTATATCATGCATGTGTATGTAGTCAACAACTACTTTAATTGCTTTGTGTATATCATGCATGTGTATGTAGTCAACAACTACTTTAATTGCTTTGTACATATCATGCATGTGTATGTAGTGAACAACTACTTTAATTGCTTTGTGTATATCATGCATGTGTATGTAGTCAACTAACTACTTTAATTGCTTTGTACATATCATGCATGTGTATGTAGTGAACAACTACTTTAATTGCTTTGTGTATATCATGCATGTGTATGTAGTGAACAACTACTTTAATTGCTTTG